AATCTCAATCTCTTCACCATCCATCCTGATGCTACCCATTGGTCCAGTGGTGAGAATTTTTGTCTTCTGGACATTGAGCCTCAGTCCATATTGAAGGCTGCAGTCCTTGACCCTCTGCAGTAAGTGCATGAAGGGTTTTATTCGGCCTTTGTCTTTGAAGCACATTTTTACTGGATGTGGAATTGTGGGTTGAACTTTTTCTTCCTCTTCCTGTTATTTCAAGGTCGTGTTCCGTTATCTTCTAGTTTTAGTAGAAAATTAATGGTCGTTTGAATCGTTGGACTCATATGTATTAATGTTGTCTCCCTCAACTTCTTTTAAGGTTTTTGCTCCTTTATGCTTGAATTTTACTGTTTTAATTATGTTGAATTCAGGTAGTTTTGGTGACCTAGTGAGAAGGAGTTGCACTGCCAACGGACAGTCTCCTCCTGTGCAATTTACAGCCTCTAAAAACTTGCTGGAGGATCAGCTAGGAGTCATTGCCGAGTACACAACAACAACAGGTGTAAGTTTGTTAAATTTCTCTTTTTTGGTACCACTGAGCTTCCAGAATCTGTGCATTGAAGCCTTTTACGAGTTTGTGGAAATTTTGGCTGTGACTTTAAAACTTTTGTTTAATGTCCTAATTTTGTCAGTTACTACAGCAAAGGGCTGGAGCATCGCTGAGATTGGGGGGGGGTGGTGCAAGGTGGCGCGTGGCTCAGATCTGTGCTCGTAGGGTCGCTCTGTGTCCTGGCTGACCTGAGGGCACCCAACAACAGCGAGCCTCGTTCTTCTCTCCTTGTGGAGCTCCGAGTGCTCTCCTGGTCTAGTGTCTGTCCTTTGAAGCCTAACTTAGTCTCGTTCAGTTTCTTTTCCCTGATGATCTTTTCTTTTACTTTACAAATGTTTTCCTCTTGCTTCACAGAACATAGATCTAACATGAAGATACTTCCAAATGTCAAATTCTTTGGTGGTTCCCGCTAGGAAATTTTCATCTCTTTCTCATTTGCAGCCACAGTCTTGTGTCAGTGGCACTTGTGCTGACCTTTGGACTTGGCTGTTTCTGTGACTTTTGGATAACACTGATGAGAATGTGGATTGCTGCTTCTTTTGACTGATGCTCTCCTGATGGCTTAGTGGTAAGAAGCTGCACTGTCAACCCACAGGCATGCAGTTCGAGTCCACCAGCTGCTGTGTGGGAGAAGGATGGACAGTCTTCTCCTGTACTGTTTACTGCCTCTGAAAACCTGCTAGAGGGTCAGCTGTGGGTCCGTTCCAAGTTGACAGTGTTCTAAAATAGTTGTTCTGATTCTGTCAATCTCGTCGGCCTTGGAAAGCCTCCCTGAGACACTGTGTGTGTGACCAGCCATCCCCGCTCTCTTTGCCTGCTTGCGTCTCGGGTTGCCCCTTGCGTCACAGACGGGCCAGTTTCCCCTGTGCTTTGAGGTAGGATCCTGGCCATCATCTGGCGGGCTGGGGGTCTGTGTGTAGTGAGCTCTGGGCTTCTTCACCCTTCATGGGTGTTGGACCAGTTTAGTTCCGACAGATCTCTCTCTTTTTTTATTTATTGTTTTTTTAGATCTCTCTTGCCCTCATGGCATCTGTGTGCTTGTGGCCTGGCCGCATATGCTGCTCAGGGCTGCTGAGACCACTGGTTCCTGGATGGAATTTGGGATGCTGACCCTCCCTCTTCAGGTTTCTTCCCTGCATGCCAGCTTGCCTGGGCTTCTGTGGGCCAGGTGGATGGCAGAGTTGCTTCTGGACTTTGTACCATCCCTGCTGTGATACCCTGCAGCTAAGGTCCACTCTCCCGTGGAATTGATGAAGGATAGAAGGGGTGCTGACCTCTGTGGGGTTCACTTCCCCATATTTTAAGTTGGAATGAGATAAACAAGAATGGATGCCTTTAACGGTTGAGTTGTGGTATTGGCAAAGAGGGTTGAATGTGCCAAGGACTGCTGAAAGGTGACCCAGTCTGTCTTGGAGGACGTGCAACCCAGGGGCTTTTTTTCGAGTCAAGGATGGTGAAACTTTGTCTCCCATGCTTTGGGCCTGTTGTCAGGAGGGGCAGTCCTTGGGAAAGGCATCGTGCTGGGCAAGGTGGGGTGTCAGATAACGAGTGGGAGACCTTCGACAAGATGGATTGACATCGTGATTACCACAGTGGGCTTGACGGTGGCCGAGATGGTGAGGCTGGGGCAGCAGCAGGCGGAGCTGAGGGCTGTTGTTCATAGAGTTGCCGGGCAGTGTAGTCAGCGGAACGGCTTCGGCTGGCACCACTGCTGCTGCTCTGCTCACTTACTGAGGCCTGACCTGGTGTTTCCACCTTTGAGCTCCTGGTTGTAACTGGTGGGAGAGAAGCTTGGAGGCTCACACAGCAGGCCTGGAGTTCTAGCCAAGGGGGTGGGGAAAGCCTTACACATCTTTGGCTCTCTCAGCTTCTTTCTGCCTTTCCTCACCCCTTTTCTTAGAGTTTATGTGCTGAAGAAATCTACTTCCTAGTCTTCATTTTTCGGATCTCGTCTCTGTGGTGTTTAACATGCTCTTCTGCCTCCTTGTTCTCTGTAAATCCAAGTGCGGACTCCCATTCTGACTCCTGTGCACTGCTGTCACGTAGATTTGGGCTGTAAAGACCCTCTAGGATAGAGTAGAACTGCCCACAGACTGCCCAGGTCTGCCATTGTTACACAAGCAGGTACACCATCGTTCTCCCATGGCACACCTGGTGGATTTGAACCACTGTCCATTCGGTTTGCAGTCCAACACGTAATCCAGCTTGCTGCTAGGGCACCGCTTTCCCTGTGATAATGCTGCATTTGTCCATTAGAGGGCTCTCGCTCTCTCTCAGGGGCTGGGCGGGATCACTGTTGTGCAGTTGTCCTTCCTTTAAGAACTGGAATGGCCGTTCTAGCCCTTGATGATGAATTCATCATCACTTGTTATCTGGAATGCTATGTGCCTGTGCTTCCTCAGAGCAAAGACATGCCTTCCTGTGCTTCCTGGAGCAGAGGTTTTAGGAGGAAGGCAGGACGAACATTTCCTTCTCTTTGTTGTTGTGTACAGCTGACCCTTCAGTGAGCTTCCAGGGGCTGTCAGTCCCCCCAGAGGAGAGAGCTGATCTTTCTCCCTCCTGCTTCTCTTTAGTCCCTACTTTTCAAAAGAGTGCCCTGGAGTCAGAACAGCAACCTGACTCAGATGACCAGCGTGTGGCTCCCATTGGTGGTGTCCCAGACTTGTGGGTGTCATGTGGCTTCGTTCAGTGTCTTCCAGGTCAGTGTCTCTCCTGCCATTGAGGGTTTCGTGGTCGCAGACTATAGGACCAAGGAGAGAGCGTCCTGGTGCTTCCACGACTGAAATCATGATGGGAGCTGACTAGGTTCACACAGGTTCTTCAGCTAGTAGTGCTTTAACCACTGCACTGCCAGGGCCCCTTGCTTTCTTTAAGGGAAGCCTCAGGTCAGAATACAAGGAACTTGAGGTACCCTGTGTGGATGGTGGCTGGAGCCAATGGGTTCTGGGTGCAGCCTAACACAGGACTGGAAATGGTCCAGTGCATGGGGAACTGTGGGAGAAGGATCCTCTGTCCTTTGGTTGAGAGTTTAGGGACAGACTTTGTCATAGGGAACGAGCTACCATGAAATGCTGCTCTGCACAGATGCAGCCGGTGGCACCATGCTGGTGACAGAGGGCCAGGGAGCGGAGGGGTGGGGATGGGGAGAGCCACCAGGAGGCGCGTGTGAGTTTGGCCGGCCCCAGTCCAGTCCTGTTGTGTAGCCCCTGGCGGGTTCCTACTCAGGTGTTTTGTGCCTGTGTCCTGTGTCCCCGTGTGCAGTAAATGGAGTGCTGAGGCCTGGCTGTCTTGTGTATATAAGGGATGTGGGGTTTTTTGGCCTTTCTGTAATTGCTAACAGATTTGTTCTGAGGATCATGTGAGATGACACGGGTATTGTACTCATGGCACTACAGCGTGAGAGTGTGGCTAGGAGGCCGTTTTATTATTTCCAAATTTTTTCGCACATCCTTAGGCATGTTTTCAGGACGGTCCTGTCTTTGAAGATGGGTGCCATGCTGGGAAAGGCAGAGGGACAGAGAGAGAGAGACAGACCCTGGGCGAGATGGGCGGGCACAGTGAGTGTAACAGTGAGCTTGAGCATCTGGGAGAATCTGCTGAGGGGCAGGGCAGGGCAGGTTTCAGATGCGGTGTTCACAGCGTCAGCGCGAGGGCACTTGGGAACGACAGAGTGAGACGGGGAGCGTGTGTGTGCGTTGCACACACATTTTCGTATACACTAGCTGTGCACATGCACCAGCATGTACGCGTGTGCACACACACGCAAGCAGGCTCACGGGCTGTGCCTCGGAGAACGTACCCAGTGCGCTGTAGCCTCTCCTGAATCAGTGCACTGCCTTCTGCACTAGAAAACAGTGCTTCTCTGACTCACAGACTCTGTGATGATGACACTGTGCTGTAGATGCGACCTCTCCGGGTTGGGACTGTGATCTCTCCTATACTGATCCCTAGACCTTTTCCCTGCAGCACCCCTAAAACAAGAGAACTCACGCCCTCTGTTGTCACACTGATTCCGACAGGACAGCGTTCACTCTGCTCACCCATCATATTTATGGAGGGAATGTGCCCGTCTTTCTCCTGTGGATGGCTGGTGGACCCTGACTGCTGACTTGTGGGTTAGCAGGGTCAGGCAGCACCCAGCATTTGGTGACATGGTGCTGAGGAAGTGTCTCAGCACTGATGCTGGCGTCTGTGGGGAGCCGCTCATGTTGGGACAGCCTGTGGTGGGACTCACATTGCTGGGTGTAGAGTATGGTGGGTTTCCTGTGTGTTGTCAGTGCTTGTCCTGATGAGAAGCCCATGGTGGCCCCTGCCATGACACCCCCCCACTTCATGGACACCCTGGAGCTTGGCCTCCCAGGAATGTGCTGCCTGCAGCTGTGGTTCTGGGGTGGGTCACACTGGGAAGACCCTAAAACATTTGACGGTGTGTCTGCTTCCTCCTCAGATTGTCCACACCCACAAGCCGCACTTCCTGGCCCTGCACTGTCAGGAGTTTGGAGGGAAGAACTATGAGGCCTCCATGTCGCATGTGGACAAGTTTGTTAAGTAAGTGGTATGGGACGGGGGCCTGATGAACTTTCTGTTCTTGCTGGGTGGACCCTGGGCAGGACCCTGGCTCAGCTCTGGGTAAGATCCTGAGTGACACCCTGGGTTGGTCCTGGATTTGTTGTTACTGTGTGCTGTTGAGTCAGAACTGACCCACAGCTGACTCTCCAGTGGCTTTTCAGAAGTGGTAGATCTCACGGGAGGAGACTGCACATCCTTCTCCCACAGAGCATCCCTGGATAAGACTCTGGCTGGAACCCTGGATGGCACGGGGAAAAGGAAGCCTGACTCAGACATGTGAAGAGAGAGCTTTGTGGAGGAGGAGGGTCCAGCGAGGGGTCACCCTGGCATGGGCAGCGGATGTTCTCGCAAGGATACTGGACAGGAGCTGACTTGTTGAAGACTTCAGTTCTTGGGTGACTGTTCAATGGCCACACCATTCCTTGGGGCTCCTGTTGGAGACGGGTGCTCACCAAGCTTCTTCTGGGGAGAAAGAACCCCAAGTCTTCCAGAAGGTTCTGTAAGAGAATGGGAACAGAGAAGGGTTGCTGGTCTCTGTTGTCCTGTCCTGGCCTGGCTAGTGTGCCCTTTGCCAGGCACTGCACCACACAAGCTGGTGGTGAGTGGGCCCAGGTCTGCTTCTAGCGTGAGGTGGGCTTGAGTGTGTGCTGACCACTGGTGTCTTCTCTGCGCCCAGACTGCAGGCCCTTCTGCCTGCACCCTCCCACCCGGGGTGCCCCTTGGTCCACGGCAGCTGGAGCATTCTGGAGAGGGGTGCCCACCCCTCTGGCCACATTGTTTACTTTGCTGTTCCTGCCACACTGCTCCCTTGGACCAGCCCTCTGCTGACTCTTCCTTTGCCTGAAGAACTGTCTGATGTGTTTCTAGTAGCGCAAGTCTGTTGGTGACAAATTATCTCAGCTTTTGTTTGTCTGAAAAGAGGGGGTTTTTGTCTTCATTTCTGAAAGACATTTTTGTTGGAAATAGAATTCCAGCTTGTCCGTTGTTTTCCTTCAGGACTTTGAGGCTGTTGTTCTTTGTCCTCAGGCTTAACATTGTTCCAGGGAGAAGTTAGCCATTATTGGCATCTTAATTTTCTGGTTTATAATGAGCCTTTTTCCTCTGACTGCTCCATTTTGTCTCTGTAGCTGCAGCGATTTGATTATGTTGTTCTCCAGTTTGATATTTTGGTTTCTTTCTTCTGCTTCTGGTCTTGGAGCTTATCTGAGCTGTGGTTCATATTCTAATCGATCAAAAACATTTATGTCCATTTCTTTTCCCTCTCTCCATTTGTGCCCGAGTTCCCACTTCTGAGCATTAGATGCCCGCGGGCCGGCGGGAGTTCTTCTGGGTCTCTGTGAGTCCCCACCACGGTCCAGGGGTGTGTGTCCTCAGGTTCCTCAGGAGAGGTTCCCCTCACCCCGGAATCCTGTGTCATCAGGTCGCAGTGTGGGGCTCCCCTCACCCTGGGATCCTGTGTCCTCAGGACTCCCTTCACCCCAGGCTCCTACGTCCTCAGATCACCCCTCACCCTGGGATCCTGTGTCCTCAGCTCACCCTTCACCCCAGGATCCTGCGTCCTCAGTAATCTGTGGGGCTTTCCTTACCCCGAGATCCTACATTGTCAGAGTCTCCTCAGCCCAGGATCCTGTTTCCTCAAGGGTCCGCTCACCCCAGGATTCTTGTACGCTCACCCCTCTGCTCTCCCCTTTCCCCCTGGGATCCTCATCCGTGTTTTACTAGTTATCTTTCTGTTTCTACAATCATGGGCTTACTCAGTATTTCTCCTTAGGAGACTGAGTCGGTTCATTTGCATAATGCTCTCCAGTCCCTCCCAAGTTAGGTTGTAATTTTCAGAATTGTGCTCCCGAGTGCTGTGTAGTGTCTACTGTGTGACTGTACCACAGCTTCTCAAGCCATCCGATGTGACTGGACATTTGGGCACCATGGTCTTGCAGTGGTGAATAGCGTGCAGTGAACTTTGGTAACGGATCTCCGTTTGGGCCTCAGTCCTGGTTTTCTCGTTGCCTGGCCTCTCTCGGCACTTGGTCGTCCAGACCCCGGTGGAGCCTGCTTGGAAGGGACTGGTCGTCAGAGGCTTCCAGCCTCCTTTGCTTTCGGCTTTGAGGTGTGGAGGGTACTGTGATGGGTTGCTGCGCCCCTGCCCGCGGCACGCTCCCCGAGGCAGTGACGGGTCTGCACTCTGACAGTGTGAGGGTTCACTGGCACTGACTGTGCTCCCTCAGGCTGCCCGGCCTGTCCCCTGTCCTTGCTGTCTTGTCTTGGGGCACAAGTTGCAACAGGGCAACCTGGACATTGTGCACTGGGGGGCTGGCCCCCCACCTGTGGGGTCTTGGAAGTGAGCAGTCAGGTCTTTTTTCAGACAGAAATAAGCAGGGGAGGGACCCCACGGCCCGTTCTCTGTGTCGTGGGGCTGAGAGTGTGCTCCTGCAGGTGGGGAGGCCACTGGAGACGCACACGGGGAGCCCCGTGCTCCTGTCACGTTGTCACACGCCCTCAGCGGCCATCAGGGGCTGCGGGAAAATGGGCTGAACCTGTCCTTCCTGGTGAGAGCAGCAGCCCTCTCACGGGCTCCCTTTTCTCCTGGCAGAGAGCTGCTGTCGAGTGACGCGATGAAGGAGTACAGCAGGGCGCGTGTCTACCTGGATGAGAACTACCAGTCCCAGGAGCACTTCACAGTGAGTCCGCCCCGGCCCCTGCTTCGCACCTTCTGGCTCTTTTTAGTCAAGGGAGACCTGTGGCTGACGTACCCCTCATGCCCTCTGCTGCTGGCTGAATGTGCTGAGCCCGAACTGGGCACGTCACTGCAACCTGTGACGGAGCCTGTGGCCAGCCTACGAGGGAGGCCAGGCTCCACAAACACGATGGGGCTTGGAGTTGCTGCACCCCAGGTGGCTGATAAAAGGGGGAACACAGAAGAGAGAGTCCTGAGATCTCGAATGGAATAGGGGGCAGGCGCAGAGGTCATAGGTGCAGAGGGCCTGAGGGTCCTGAGGTCTCGATCACAGCAGAGGGCAGGCGCAGGGGTCATAGTGGGGCCCAGGGGTCCTGAGGATCAGTGTGGAGCAGGGCCAGACATGGAGAGTCCGAGATGTGGACTTTGCTGTGTGCATTGCATGAGTTCACTTTCCAGTCCCCAGTCCTGAGCAGATTCTGCAAGACTGGCCAGCGAGGTCCCCTTGGGCAGAGAGGAGAAAGCCCACAGTCCACTGAAAAGGGCACCTATGAGAGCAGCCACCCCCTGATGGCTGGATGCCAGGAAGGGAAGCCTTTGAGAGGAGCGTTTGTGTAGGTGTTGAAGAGCCAGTGTGACTCCAGGACGGAGGCCTCAGGCCTCTGTCTCTGAGGGCCCACAGCTGCTTTCACAGTTGGCCGGTGCCTCTGTTGTCCAGTCCCCGAGTTGTTTCCCCCGCCTTGGCATGCTGGGTGTGGGCAGGTGCTTGTTCAGCACCTGACTTCCTCCCAGGACATAATGACACAGTCCACCAGGACACGCACTGTCCGGGGACCTGACCTCTCCACAGGGCATGACATCACGCTGGTGTGGGTGCACGCCGGCCAGGGACCTGACCTCTCCACAGAGTGTGAAACCATGCTGGTGTGAGTGCACGCCAGTCGGGGACCTGACCGCTCTACAGGGCGTGACATCACGCTGCTATGGGCGGGCGCACTTGACCTCTCCACAGGGTGTGAAACCATGCTGATGTGAGTGCACGCCAGCTAGGGATCTGACCTCTCCATAGGGTGTGACACCACGCTGGTGTGGGAGCACCTGACTTCTCCACAGGGTGTGACATCACTATCCTCTTGGTGTGCACTGGTCTGGAATCTCATTTCTTCAAATGCATTGACGTCCCATCCAGAGGGTTGAGGGGTCATGTTTCCCAGCCCATACCTGTGCCCAGCAGGGGCCTCGTGTGTGGTAGGTGCTCCTGGAGAGGACAGTCCAGCATGTGTCGAGTGTGAGGTTGGAGTGAGGAGCGTTCTGGGGGTGAGGAGGCATCTTCTGTTAGCTGCTGGGTGATGTCCTTTTCAGTCTCCTTTCCTGTCTGTGATGCGCACACAGTTACAGAGACGCCATCTCAGGGAGCTGAGTCTCTGCAGGCCATGGCCTTGGCCCCTCTCCTTGCCTGCTCTCCTGGGCATCTCCTGTGAACCCTTGTCCACCTTACCATCCAGTCTCTGAGGCTTTCTGCTCTGTCCTGTGCTACCAGGGCTGAGGCTCTGTCGTCCCTGCTGCTCAGGGTGAACCCACCCTCGTCTCTGGCGCTCCGCCCTCCCTCTGTCACCTCTGCTCTCTTTGTCACCCTCTGCACTGGCACTGCCCATCAATCGGGCTCTTCTGCGTCCCCTGCTGTGACTCAGCTGCCTGTTCCTCCCCGCGGTGCTTGTTCAGATGAACACTGCCTGAGGTGAGAGCCATGCTGAGTGGGGACGCAGACACATCCTGCAACAGTGAGCATACAGGCGAGCCGGCGGAAATGCTGGGTAATGTCACAGCCTGAGCCACGTCGAGTGTCTAGCATACATGGAACTCTAGCTTGGAAGGTGTGGGAAAAGATGGGAAGAAATGAGGACTGGCATTTCCCCAGATTTGCTAAAACCTGTAAACCTACTGGTTCACGTGTCATAGAGTCTGTAAGTGAGACAAACTGGAGTACATCACAGCAGGGCATGGAGTCGGCAGACTGCTCACGGGAGCTGTGTGTGCCGCCCTGCTCACCTCACCCCTGTCCTCACTCCTCTGCTTCATCCCCAGACTCATCCCTCCTCATGGCAACTGTGCGTGCCGCCCTGTTCACCGCACCCCCAGGCTTGTCCCTGCTGACTGCTTCCCTGTCTCCCTGCCCTGCCCACCTCAACCCACCAGTCCTCAGTCACTGCCTCTGTGTAGAGGCTGCCCATCTGTCTTCACGGTGAATGTAAAAAACACAGTGAGAAAGGCTGGTGGAGAAAAGATGGCGTGCACACGTGGTCTGGGAGCAGGAAGCAGGCCTGTGCGCCTCTTCTGCAGTGAAGGGAGCCCTCCCCTGGGAGCTGCTGTGCACTGGAGAAGCCGACAGGGAAGTGGACAGCTCTGGACCCGTTGTATTAGCACCCCCCTCAGAAATTGGTAGCCTAGGGTGAATACCACTGCCACCCCCCACGCTGGTCAGCATCTAGAGAGTCCTTCAGCCAGGACGGAAGCACAGATAGCCACGGAAACGGTGCCTTGTGGACCAAGGAGCCGGCACGAGAGGGCAGAGCTAATAGCCAGCAGCATAGGCCACTCCTGAGGGATTCAGTGTGCCCTGCAGCACTCCCGTTGCCACCAGAATCTTCTCAGTTAAGGTGAAAGAAGTGTCTATCAGACTGTTCCAGTGTTCGAGAGACCTCGAAAGTGGCCGGGCCTTCTGGATGAGCCACAGTGAGCTTGGCAAAGGGCACTCGGGCCTGCTGTGGACCTCCCTCTCTGAGGGCCGCCTGGTGCCAAGGCCTGAAGTGCTGTACTCCTGCTGGCAGGCCATGTGTTTGGGTCGTCTGTCCATTGGTGCCTGCCAGGCCTGGGACAGTTCACACAGAAACTTCACCAGAAAACATTAATCCTGGGTTTAGAACAAACCCCAGCCTTCTAGGACTTGAGGTCCCACAGAGTCCCACAGAATGTGTTCTCTGGTTAAAACATGACACGCGGATACAGTTAACAGATGTCTGAGGATCTCCTGATCCAGAGGCTGTCAGAACGAGATGGAAAAGAGAACAGGCTCTTGTGGAAATTGTAACATGCACTGAAACACTATCTCAAGGGAAACTTCTGGCATTTGCCTTGGGGAGAAAACAGACTAAAACGGAGATCATGTTCAGTCCAAAGCAGTTAGCTGGTGAGAACAGCCGGCATCGGTCAGATGGCAAGCGCAGCGGCAGTGGGGCTGCTGGGGTCCCACGGTGGAGGGGCCTGCACTCGCCCTGGGGCCCACTGGTGCCATTGAAGGTCACCGTTGACACGAGATGAGCATTTCACCTAGATGGGGGCTCTACCTATAAAAACAGTGTGGCCACCATGAGGACAGCAGTCCGACCTCCACTAACCATACTGGGGGAAGCAGCTCCGTCAAGGACAAGAGCAGCCCAGAGCCACTTCTGGCAGGATTTGACGATCAAAGACAAAAATCCTCAGGCCAAGCAACATGGTGGTAGATGGAGAGAGGTCAGCGGTGTCAAGGATGTGCCTGAGGCAGGCCACTCTGACCTTCAGCTTCCCTTTGGTTTCTGCCCATAGCTGGGGGGGTGCCACTCGACTGCCCCAGTAAGTCACAGGGCTCACTGTCGTACGGCTCTGGCTTTCTGCCACCACGGCTGTGTCCCCAGGTTGCCCTGTCTTGCGCAAGGATCTCTGACCCCGAAGACGCGCTGCACTTTCTTGTTCCTCCCTCTGCCGAGCCTGCCAGGAGACACAACTGGCGAGTGGCCATACTCGTGGTCTACACGTCTGATTTGTTTCTTCTCAGCCCAAAGATGTTTGCTTTAATCTGCTGGCAAGCTGTCTAGTCCCCTTGGTGGGCCCCCAACATGTATGTGTATAGTCCTGCCCTGTTGTGGGGTGTTACACCTATGAAAACTACAGTTCCACGTTGCCCAACCCCCTGCAGCAGAGTCCCAGCACAGATGCAGTCGGCCGTGCCCTGCATGGGCGCAGGGGTGCAAAAATGCAGGGTGTTTAGGGACACCGAGCTCAGTGGTGCAGAGAGCCAGGGTCACAGGGAGTGCAGAGATCCAGGAGCATAGGGGGTGCTGGCAGCCAACTCAGGCGTGGGGGATGCAGGGGCTCATGGGATGCAGGGAACCAGGGACTCCTGGGTGAAGGGGATGGGCGTGGCCTGAAGGGCTGATGTGCTGCTTCTCAGGCTCTTGACAGGCTCTTTAGAAGTAGATTATCACCTGACAGGAGCAGCTAGGGGCCCAAGAACAACCTGTGGCCTTAGGGGACATCTGATGCCTACAGCTGGGCTTGGCCTCTGTCTGCCCCTCTCCTTCCTTCTGACTGACTCCACCTCTCCTTCCAGCCTCTTCATGTGTGTGATACATGGTTCACACATGTGCATGTCCCACCTGCTCATCATATGTACATGTACACGCACATGTGCACACATAGCTCATGTATGCACTCACACTTATGTGTCCATATACGGCTCACACATACCCACACTCGTGTGCTCACAAACAGGGCTCATGTGCATTGCGTGTATGCATGCACAGCTCATAGGCACACTCACGTGCTAGCATGTGCACACACACGACTCGGACAAGCACACTAATGTTCATGCACATGACTTACACACACATGTGCGCCCATGGCTTATGCATACATGCACATTCACATGCTCGCACGTATGGCTCAGACACATATGCACCTGCAGAGCCCATATGGACACACACACACTCACATGCATGCACATGACTCACACAACACTCACCCTTGCATACCTGCACTGACAGCTCGCAGGTACACTCACGTGCTCACGCACAGCTCATGAGTGCACGTACACTTGCATGCACACTGCTAGCATACACTCATGTGTGCACACACGTGTGCACTCGCACATGGCTCAGTGTGCATGTGCACTAATGTGCACACAGCTCATCATACACATTTGGCCCATGATATACACACTTGTGCACATGCACACACAAACCACAG